CGTTTTATAAGAAATTTTGAGTAATTGTAAATAAAAGGCAAACAAGATAAAAGTTAAACAATTTCAAAAGAACCTGTGTTTGTAAATTGTGAAAGTTGTAATTTAATCAACATATTTCACTAATTTGAGTAAATTTAAATAAAAGATAAATTAGATAAGAGTTAAATAATTCTAAAAGAATATGTATTTGTAAATTATAAAAATTATAATTAATCAATATATTTAATTATTTTGTATTATTTTATTTTAACTTAATGTAAGTTATCCATCCAAATTTGATTTTAGGTATGAAATTTTATATTTTTATAGAAGAAGAATTCAAATTTAATTTTTATAAAAAAGTTAAATTAATTTACATATTTTGAAATCAAATAAAAAAATATTTATATACATATATTAATATCATAAATTTTTAACACTTAAATATTTAACTTATTAATAAATAAATTAAAAATTTATTTAAAAATTTATATTTTTTAATTTTTTTAATTTAATTTCTTAATATTTTAATTTTATTTAATTTAACTTTTATATTATATTTTTAATACAGTATGACATTACAGCTTTACTTTAAAAAGTAAAAGCTCGTGATATTTCAACTTAATATATAGTACACTGTATCACTTTCCTTTAGAAAGTAAAAGCATGATTTTTGAACTTAATAATATTTTTCAGAAACATTAACTCCACTTGGCGTACTACTTAAGTCCAGAAATGAAGACGTCAACGACGTACTACAGTTGGCACACGTCTGTAAATGTTGACTAGCAAATAAATACATGGAGCCTTTATGTTTGTTGTCTCGTGGCTGTTCAGCAACCTTAAAATCTTGATAAAAGGAAAACCACATAAACTCAAGTCCCTCGTTTCTTTGGCTTTTCTGTTTTTGTCGTCTTCCTTATGTTCAATTCCCTCCTTCATCTACAAATAAGCTTGAAACCACGTCGAGAGACTTCACCCCTCTGTGCACAATCTCCTCTCTTCACTTCCCCTCTGCTTTGCTTATCTAACCACCACGATCTATATTCTGAAGGTTTTGTTATAATTTCCCACCAATATTAATTAAGGCTTCGCTTCTTTCTACTGGTTATAAAAAAGAAGGTAATAAAAAAGGTACTAAGGCTTTTCCTTTGCATGCATAAAGAACTTGCCTTTTAGAAGAGACATGATGTTTTGTATACCAAAACAGCAGATTCATGAATTTTCTTGTTTTTTATGTTCACTGACTCAATAATTAATTGTAGGGGGTTTAAATATGGAGATTACCATGAAGGAGTCAACAATGGTATGTCCGGCTGAAGAAACTCCAAACCAAAGGCTATGGGTCTCTAACATGGACTTGGTGATGACACTGTACCATATTTCTACTGTATACTTCTACAAGCCAAATGGTTCTTCGGATTTTTTTGACACAAAACTGTTGAAGGAGTCTTTAAGTAAGATTCTGGTTCCATTTTACCCCGTAGCTGGAAGGTTGGGATATGATGAAAATGGAAGACTTGAAATAATCTGCAATGCAAAGGGAGTATTATTCATAGAGACTGAAACTACTTCTATCATGGATGATTTAGTTCAAGATTTTACAGATGGTTCAAAAGTTCCTCAACTAGTTCCAGAAATAGACTACTCTGGAGGAATTCTTCTTATCCCTCTTCCGGTAAGGTCAAGGTTAGTTTTTACCAAACAAGAATAGAAAGGAAACAAATAATAAAGTTTCTTTTTTTTGCACATAATTAGCTTATATGTTTATTAAAGAAAAAGTTTTTTAACTAGCAGCTCACCTAATATTGTTTTGAAAAAATTAATGACTGAAAGGTAGGGATATATAGAGGGATAAGTAGAAACCATGCTATGTGCTAGTTAGTAGCTGTTTGGATTGATTTTTTTTTGGTTTATTTTTTTTTTTAAAAAAAAGACTGATCAAATATGATCTTTTAAAAAGTTCTTAAAAAAAATAATTTTTTTAAGAACAAAATTTTGAAGAAAAGAGTTTAAAAAAGGTTTCAGAGAGGAATTTTTTTATAAAAAAAACACATTAATTTTTCAAGATATATCATTTTTTCAATCGATTTTCCTTTTTTTTCTTTTTTTTTAGCAAATGATCATTTTTCAACTTAAATAACGATTTTTCTTTTCTGTATTTTTTTTAAAAAAATTATTTAAAAAACAAAAAATTTAACAATAAAATATCAAAACTTTGAATTTTTTTGTTTTTATAAAAATTAAGAGAAAAAAATTTAAAATTAAAAACTACATTAAGATACTATTTAAAGATTTTTTTTCTTTTATATTAAAAAATTTTAATGTTAAATATATTATTTTTTTATTTTTTATTTTATAAATTGAAGCATTATGGTTCCATTTCTTGTTAGATCAACAAAAATATAATACTATTGTTATTATATAAATTTATAAGTTATTTTTTTATTAATCTTTTTAATTTTAATATTTAAAATTATATATAAATTTGAATCATTATATTATAACTTATTAGGTGATTGAATAGTATATGGATATCTTTTATGATAATTTTAATCAAAATTAAAATTTATATAATTTATTTTATTAAATAGTTTAGCAAACAGTTTTAATTTAATTTTAAAAATTATTATTTTTTATAAAAACTTAATAATAGTTTTGAAGTTGAAAAAAAACTAGATCAAACAAGTTCTTAGTAAGGGAGTTTAACTGATCAAGTTTCATTCTTCTTTCAATTATTTAATTTATTATTTCTAGATTATATTTTGTCATAATTCATTCCTCTATAGATGCTTGCTAGAAAATATGAATCTTACATATAAGATAAGCAATATACCTCAACTTAATACATTTCAAAATCAAAATAAAATTCTCGAAAGTTAGGAATATTTAGATTGTTTCATGCATTTCTCAATTAAACTTTGCTCTTTAGGTTGTGTGCTAAGTTATCTAGTTGAAAAGTTAGTACTGGAACTGATAAATACACTTTTTTTTTTTTATGAAAATTGCTCTTTTTTCTGAATTTTTTTATAAGTCATGTATTTAACAAGAATAATTGCATATGAATATTGCAATTATTGGTAGGTAACTACTTTCAAATGTGGAGGAATTTCTCTTGGAGTTTCTACTCAACACACAATGACAGATGGTTCATCTGGACTTCATTTCATTAATAGCTGGGCCAACACGGTACGAGGGTTGTCCCCCAGGATTGCCCCATTCTTGGATCGTACCCTTCTTCGAGCCCGAAACCCACCGACTCCAAAATTTCGTCACGTTGAATGTACACCACCTCCTCCTTTGCAAACTATGTTTTCAACTTCAGAGTCCCTGCTAGGTCCCAAACCATCAATTGTATCAGTCTTTAGGATCACAGCTGATCAACTAAACGCCCTCAAAGCCAAAGGAAATGAAAATTCAAATAGTAATACAAAATATAGCACCTACAGTATCTTAGCTGCACACATATGGCGTTGCGCAACCAAAGCTAGAGACCTCTTAGAGGATCAGCAACTCCAGTTAAGAATGCCAATTGATGGACGGAATAGATTGCGTCCTCCTCTCCCACCTGGTTACTTTGGCAATGTAATCTTCATTGCTGCACTCTTAACTCTAGCTGGTGATCTTCTATCAGAACCATTCATAGATACCGTCAAGAGAATTCATGAAATATTGAAAGAAATGGATGATGAATATCTGAGATCTGGTATTGATTACATAGAAAAGGCCCCTGACATAAAAGCTATCAGGCGAGGGCCTCAACATGTGCGGTGCCCGAACCTTCTTATCAACAGTTGGATAAGGTTACCTATCCATGATGCAGATTTCGGATGGGGTCGTCCTATTTTTATGAGGCCGGCAAATATTGTCCATGAAGGGAAACTGTTCATACTTCCAAGCCCAACCAAGGATGGTAGCTTGACATTGGTTACACGTCTGGAGACCTCTCACATGAAACTGTTCGGAAAGCTTCTTTACGAATTCTGACAACATAGACGCTTGCTCGCTGCTAGTTGTTCTCCTTTTCGATCGAGTTTGGATTCGCAAAGTCCTTGCTAATCTTGTTTTGTTGGATTATTTCAGGTCTATATCTTAGTTCTGTTGAGTGGTCTCAATTCTGTTTCCATAGGTTGTTTTCTGAGGTGTTTCTTATTGTATTCAGCCGGTTGTTTGACTTATGGTGTGTCTCATCTTTGCTTTGTTATTGGTTTGGAGACTTCCTTTTCTAGATATGCCAAACTTGTAAACCTCGTTTTAATAGTAATAAATAAATGCTGTTTACTTTACGAGGAAAAAAATCTAGAAGCTATCTACATAGGTTGATGTCTTTCCATTTCTCTTTCCTTTTGTTGTTCGTCCCCTTATTCTAACTCTAGACCATTTGAATTCACCTTCTCTTACTAAGTTGCTTTAGATCGATGCATAATATGTTCATATATGTAATGTATGCTACTTTGTTTTCAATGTACTTTATTATTCACTACTTTGTTGTTCATTACAACAGTAGCAGCATTCATGTTAACGAGCTGCTGGGGTTTTTCCTTGCTTGGCCTTGGCAGTGAAATTGTAGAAAGAATCAAAAGGCATGGTATTCATTTCTTTTTGGCATAATGTACAAAAAACTCTTAAACTATTTTAAAAACTTTAAATTAAATTTTTATAATTAATTATTAATTTAATTAAAATATAATTGATTGTTCTATATCGCGTAACGTTAATGTAATGTGTTAATATATTATAATTAATTATAATACTACAAATTGACGTATCATAATTAATGATTATATGACATGCTAATTTGGTAAGATAACATAATCATATGATATTTTTCACTTTTCACATCAATGTCATAATATTGTCATATAAATATAAAATGATAAGTGACATATTTACTAATGACAAGTAATCAGTTATTAATAATAAAAACTTATTTGATTTAAATAAAAATATAAAATTTAATTGAATATAATAAAAAATAAAAATTTAATTAAATATTTTTAAATAGTTTGGAAGATTTAAGCATTATGTTTTTTTTTTTATTAATATCCTTATTTGTAAAGGACCAAAAAGCTTACAGGAAACGGTAAGAGGAAACATTTCGCTTTGTGTAGGCTTACAAGGTGGGCCTAATATATCGGGCTGGAAACAACCAAGGTCCTGATGTGTGCCAAAGGCTCCTCGGGTGGAGAAAGAAGCATTTGCTAGCCCACGTTCGCATCCAGCTGCCTCCTGCTTAGCTGTGGAAGAATTTCAAATTGCATAATGATCAATGTAAATCGAAAATTGAAGAACACAATGAAATGTGAGTCAATGGAAGGCAGATGACTGATCCGTTTAACCTACATTTTTTTTTTCTTTTAGAGTTTCATGTGGAATGAATAATTGAAACTTCCACAGAAACACTTTCTGTTTTTGATTCTTTTCCTTTCTCAATACAGTTACAAGGCTTTAGATGTAGCAAGCGATCCAGTTTCGCCAGGCCCGGATCATGAGCTCCATTGATTTCTCTGTTTCTTGGCTTTGCCATCTTTGCGAGATCCGATGCTTGAGTTCTGCTTGATGTATGGTATCTACAGGGGCCTTTCCTTTTCCTGTTGCCCCTTACAGAAACACTATCTTCTTTATATAATACTGTAAAAACAAAAGGTTTGGGATTCTGATCATAACTATAAATTTAAGTTCAAATGTCAAACATATTGACCTAAGTAAAACTTTATTGCTCTATTCCCCTACTACAGAATAAGATAGTGACAAATACTGGGCAAATCAGTTGGCGAATATATTCTTGAAGTGCTTTATTCGACAATAAAAAGGTCTAATTTGCCGTGCACAGTTTAAATTAAGTGAACAGAACAAGGCAAATGCTACAGCACGCAGGAAGCTATGGCCTAGGATAAACCACGCCAAGAGAAAAAAACTGGTATAACAGATTTTGACCGTTTGCCATGTCCAGGGGCTTAATTCTTCACTGTTGTCACATGCTTGAGAAGCATTTGGACAACATCATCTGATATTCTTGCAGCCTCATGCTTCAGGTGGTGAATCTTTGCTTCTGTCTCTTGCTCAAGCCGCTTCACATTAGCACCTGAATCTCCACTGCTCTGTTTGATGACCACAAGACGAAATCAGAAAGAAAGAGTTAACAAATCTACAAAGGACTTCACAGCTCAAAACCTTGCAGCTTAAGAGAAGGAATTGATGTTATAAACATGCAAGGTGAGGAGATAAGCTTCCAATCCTCATTAGCAATCTCAAAAAATTGATAAATAGAAACTTCACAAGCTACAAAAAGAAAAGTCAGAATACTCAGCTCTAGTTAGCATTCAAGATGTTTTACCTCAGCAACTTTCCTCTGGAACTCCTCCTCCGCTTGAGCTCGATGTTCAGCAATCTCTTTTTCAGCCTCTTCCTTGGCTTGTTTCAGCCTAGCCATCTTTGCTAAAGGTAGACACCCAGGCAATAAGGAAACGAGGGAAATTACTTCAGAGCTAAACATGAAATATTATAAAAATGAACCATGAAAAGAATTCTCGAGACCATACACTTTGAAAAGACCAAAAATCATGTATGGAAAAGCAATTACATGCATGTCAGAGTGCATGCATGTACATAAAATAATCATGTAAATTATGAGCTGCATACACACACACCATTCATTAAGAGAAAATAATACGGCCAACTTTTCCATAGAGGTCATGAAGAGGACGATTTTCTTTTCTTATTCTTTCTCCTTCTAAAAATCAGGTATTTGAGAAGAAAGCCTCATATATATTCACACCAATTCTTGCAGGCATAGTTCACATACAAATGAACAAAAAGAGATAACAATATATGGAAAAAAATCCAGGTAAATCACTTCAAATTGTTGAATCTGAAAATTGGTCAAAAACAGCACATAGAATAGTTACCATTTCTGGCGGCATTCACGATATGCTGAGCCTCTTGTTCCGCAGCAAGCAACTGCTGGATTCCACCCTGACCCCTACTGGTTTCCATGATTTCCTACAATGCCAAAAGCCCAAAAAACCTTTCAAGACAAGATTGATTATAACCGTATAATTGCATAGTCTGTCAGGAAGAGAACCTCACTCATAACCAATAAGGTACTTTGAGGTCTGAAAGAATTAAATTTGGAGCACATGAAATGAATAATCCCAACAGGTTAAACTAAACACAAACTCAAAAGTTCACGTGTAGATGTCAAAAAAGAAAATTTGGATTCCAGGCTTATCAGACTGTTAAGATAAACTATTACAGAACAAGGCAAATCATATTGCTAAACTCAACAGAAGCAAGCTGAGCTCTAACCTATAAATTATTACGCTTATGTTAAGTTCTCAATAGAAGGGACATCATAAACTCAATTTCACCACAAAGTCCAGTACCTAAACTCTAATTTTATTGTTACAAGAATATTTCTTGGTATGCCTGGAAAGTTCATTCCACAGGAAGAACTATAGCTACATTTTGCAAAAGGGTCCTGAGCAAGATGCAAACTTTAACCTCCAAGAAACAGTTAAGATTCAAATCCTCATAGGATACAACACAAAAATTAAAACTAATTATTTAAGGCTCAGACAAAATCAAGTTAAATCAAAGATCTTTCCTCAGATCCCATCAACACCTTATATTCTCTTATAGCTAAAACGCTTTTCCAAAAATCTTCACCAATTCAATTTAGAGGAACAAAAAGACTTCAAAGTAAAATCTAAAAACAACCCACCAACCAAATCCAATTAAAATTAAACTGAAAAGACTTTAAAAAAAATAGGATCTCTGCTTTTCTGCTTTCTGCTTTCTTAGTTTGATCTTTCACAGAATTCTATTCTCCCTCCATGAATAACAGAACATACAGTTTTGACCTTTTGGCAAGGCAGAGAGCAGTTTAAAACCCCATACGAATTATAACGAAGATATTAAAAACTGAAATAAAAAGGGAAAAACTTTGGGTTACCTGGAAAACGGTGTCTAGATTTTTTGTCCGAAGATTTCAGTGCAAAACTGAAGGACGCTTGTTTGACTGATGCAAGGGAGGAAAATAAACTGTTACCATTACAAAGAGAACCGAGGTAAACTATGTCGTTTTGATTTCCACGAGGGCTTTTGTAATTGGTAATGCTTCCATTGCTTTTGCCCTACATATAAGCCAGAATTTGGATTTGGGGCTCAATTTGATTTTCCTCTTTTTTTTTTTATGCTTGGCAAATTCATTATTCATTGTGGTTAAAACAATGGTAGTAATGCTTATTTACAAGAAATTTTTTTTCATATTTTCAAGTTTAAAAAATAATAAAAAATTATACCCCAACATTTAGATGAATAATTCATCTAATTAATGCATAATTCTGTTCAAAAAGTAAGGTTCAAATTTTCTTTTTCCAAATAAAGAAATATATAACTAACCACAATTGTCAAAATATCAAAATGAGTGCCAAAGTATAATGTTAAATTTTGCCCTATATGACTATTGCTTAAATGAACTTAAAACATAAGTATGAACAATAAATTAAGAAAGAACATCTTTGCAAGTATGAAGTATCCCATATTTATTCCACTTATGATAAACGTTCAAGGTTCCCAATTTTAGTAGATAACCGAGCAAATCACCAACTCGTGTATCAAATCTCCATGGAATTCAAGTGTTGCATTCTTCTCCATCTTCACCACACAGGAAGTTCCATTGCTTAGACAATCCAACCTAAATTCTATGGTGGAAATAGAAAACACATAAAGCTAAAATAATAGAGCTTCGGAGAATTGGAATTGCGGAAGTTGATCTGGATATAGATAGCTTCAGACCCCTCCTTTCTTGGCCAAGCATGTATACTGTGCTCTGATATTATCGTTCTTCCTCTTCTGGTAAATAAATCCTCCCACCCCAATAACACAAGCACCAACCAGAACTCCAGCCACAGCTCCATTCACTCCATTCCAAGAGTCCTCATCTTCATAAGGTTCAACAGGCTCATCTTCAGCCCTGTAGTTGAATGGCAAGATTGTCTGATGAATTGTTGGAGCTAAACCAAAAGTGTCATCGTTTGAAGGAGTCATTTGGACGGTGGGGTCTGATTCTGGGAATAAGACTGCTTCTGATGGTGCAGGGACTGCAGTTTTTGGTAGAGAGCTGTAGTCATTAAGTTCAGGTACATTTTCAGGATTTTGGGATTCTGTGTTGGGAGGAGTAGCTGATGAATAATCCTGGCTGGTGATATCTTCCTCCCCTTTTGTTTCAGGAGCTGGGGCATTAACATAGGTAACAGGTGATTGATTCTCTTGAGTGAAACTCCCATCGTCTGAGGTGTCAAGAGCTGGAGAATTGTCAACGTTTGCAGGGGCAAGAGCAGGAGATTTATTCTCTTCAAGACTAGGAGCATCCACATTAGGAGAATAAGAAGAAGGAACAGATGTATTCTCTTGAGACAGTATGTCGTTGTCTTTGTTTTCAGCAGAAGATAGATTCTCTTGAGAAACATTCTCGTCTTCTTTGGTTTCAACAGCAGGAGTATCCACACTCGGGGAAGGAGGCAGAGATGTGTTCTCCTGGAAAAGATCATCACTCTCTTTGGTTTCAACAGCTGGAGGATCCGCCTTCGTAGGAGGAAGAGATGTATTTTCTTGAGAAAGATTATCCATATCCCGGGTGTCAAGAACAGAATCATCAACAGTGGTAGGAGAAAGAGAAGTGGAGATATTTTCATCACCTTTGTTCGTTTCAAGAGTAGGATCATCAACGGATGGAGGAGATGCAAGGTCTTGAGAGAGCTTTTCCTGACCTTGGGTCTCGAGAGAGGGTTCATCAGCATTGGAAAGACTGGAAATGTTCTCTTGAGAGAGTGTTTGGTTGGGTTTGGTTTCAACATCAGGAATGCCAGAGCTAGGAGGAACAGAAAAATATGTTGGAGAGAGAGTTTCAGCTTCAGCTTCCGTAGTTGGACTGTCGGGATTGGGAAGAAAAGGTAAAGATTCTGGGGAAAGAGATTTGTTTTCAGATTCTGATGCCGCTGGAGCATAAGATTGCTCAGAAGTCGTTGCAGAAATACTATAATTTGCTAAAATTGAAAACATTACAGATAAAAAGAGACATACTTTCGAGGCTTGTTTTGGCATGTTTGGTCTCTTGGAGAGAAGGAAGCTTATTGGAAAATTATGCAGAACCGATGAGAAATTGCAAAAATGTGAGGATTTTTTCAAGGCACAAAAGAGCTATGAATTTAAGATATGCAATGAAACTCTTTAATTTCCCAGTTTAGAAGGCACCACATTATATAAACTCTAGTCAGGAATTAGAGTTGGATGAAGAAATGGTGAGAAATGGGATTCAATTCTCGTTTAAGTTTGTCTGATGGCGATGCCATGGTGACATTGTTTTCCGCATTACATGAATAGATTATCTAGTTGGAATCATGAAAAGGTTGCCATTAATAAATCCTCAATATCAGAGTTTAATGCATTGCCATAAATGAGAGCTAATACCATTAAATTCCTTTTCTCGTTATAAAAAATTTCCGAGGAAGGCAAGGTGGCCCGAGACAACGAGGAAAGCCACCTCACTTAACACACGCCAAATTTTGAAAACTTGACATGCTACAGCAACCTGGTCTGATTTGAACTCCCTGATTTTTTTTTCCCCTGTTGAATCTGGCTTTGGCCATATGAATGTTTCGTTTTATCTTTGGTAGAGGCACCTAAAGCTGTTTCTCTTGCTCCATTTCTGAAACAGTTAAGTTGAAAGTCCTCTGGAAACAGATAATCTTGATTCATCTTAGCGGTTTGTAAGATAATCAGATCAGATGATCTATTATTCCAGAAAGTTAAATTCACTAATCTCCTCCTCATGGTAGAGTATTTCACATTAGACAGGAGTTGTCAGGATTAAAAACATTCTCAATACTATACGTTTTATGTACTTAACTTGCTTTAAAGTACCCCCAGTTTACTGTTCTTTTCTGTAGCTGCCACCAACTTAAAAGCTAGAAAACACCAACAGGGCTAATGTCTAATTCGTTTGTTAACATATCCAATACCCTTGTTTTCCTGTTCTTGATCAGGTCACATTTAAATGGATAAATTTGCCAATTTCACCACATTTATAGGTCACCCAAATCATTTTCCATCCAGATAAAAAAGAAGAAAAGAAAGGATAGGGAAATGAACTCTTTCAAATAAAGAAACACAAAGTACTTGATGATAAAATTTTCAAAGACAACAAAGAGACACCAAGACAACCAAAAAAGAAAAAAAAAAGGAAAAAGGATAGAAAAGGAAAACAGGGATGATGACAACACTTGGGCACATTAAAAATAAGTGCCAGATGATACAGAGAAGCATGACACCTTTCATTATAATTTACAAATTCAATGGTCCGTTAAAGCCTCTTGACCACATAAAACTTCATTTCTCCAAGGCAACCCTTTTTCTTTTCTCGTGGCTGGAGAATTATTGCTTAATATTTTTTTACATGGCAGAGCTGCTCCTGAAGGATCCAAGAGCTTTAGCAGCAGCTGCCCTCAGGATATACTGGTGATAGATTGCAGCAATGGCGGCACCAATGAAAGGTCCAACCCAGAAAATCCACTGCAAGAATTCAAACACAACAAATGTTGCGTTAGGCATCAATACTTCAAAAAGGTTGCCATAAAATTAAGGAAAAATTAAAATCAATTGTATGAGTGAATGGTTCATACTTGGTCATCCCATGGCTTGTCCTGGTTATACATAACAGCAGCTCCAAAACTACGAGCAGGGTTAATACCGGTGCCGGTGATCGGAATAGTGGCCAAGTGAACCATGAACACAGCAAACCCAATGGGAAGTGGTGCCAAGACCTTAAATTAGAATATAGAAAAAAAATTAGTAATTAATAAAAATGGAAAGTTTTTGTACACTTTATGTCTAGCTACTTCCAATGGTGATTTCAAATTCAGAACCATACAGTCGATGAATTTTGCGATCAAACCAAAATTAATTAGCAAGATTTCTAAGAAATTTGTACCCTAATTTGAGAGGATAAAAAGGGAAGTACGAAAGTGTGGAGTTGGTTGAGTTAGAGACATACAGGGACGTGGGAGTCTCTTGCACTCCTCTTGGGATCAGTAGCAGAGAAAACAGTGTAGACAAGAACAAAGGTGCCGATGATTTCAGCGGCCAAACCGGTTCCGGTGCTGTATCCATCAGCGAGAAAGTTGGCTCCTCCTCCATACTGGTTGTAGTAAGATTTTTGGAATGCCTTCACCAGCCCACAGCCACAGATGGCTCCCAAACATTGAGCAGCCATGTACAAAACGGCTCGGACCAAAGACACCTTCCTAGCCAGGAACAGCCCAAAGGTCACAGCAGGATTGATGTGCCCCCCTGCATATTTCATCAAAAACTGTTAGCCATCTGCTCAATTACCCAGTTTTTACCCTAGTTTAATTGTAATTTCTTAAACGTTTTTTGACACTTTCTTGCTTCTGAAAAAACTTTTACTTCAGTGGGAACATGTTCTTGGAAAACTGAGTTGGCCAATGATCTGTTTTTGGCTATAAAAGAAAGTTACTATATATTTTAGGGAGATGTCACTTGTCAGTCATAAATGCTAACCAAAACCATTGATCTTAGGAAAATATCCCGTTCATCCAAGAACTAAGATATGATCAATTACTCATAGAAAAAGATAGAGAGAGAGAGAGAGAGAGAGTTATACTTTACCTGAGATGCCAGCAGTGCAGTAAACAAGGACAAAGATCATGCCGCCGAAAGCCCAAGCAATGCCAAGAATGCCAACACCACCGCATTCATCACCACCCTTGTCAATCTGGCTCTTGTAGCCGATCACTGTCAACACAGTGATGTACAAAAACAAGAGCGTGGCAATAAACTCAGCTATTATAGCCCTGTAAAAGGACCACTTTATGAACTCCTCCGCGTCGACCAACGGAGCTGGCGGAGGATCATGGTAGTCTTTGGCTTGGAACTCACCACCGACCTCAATGTCCTTAGCCATGGCCTCTTTGCGCTAAGAAAATTCAATGACAAGGTGATCAAATAGAAGATAGAAGCTTGGAGGAGAGCCTTGTTTATCTTTCCTTGAAGAATTTGTGATGGGAAGCATGGAGAAGTGGAGTGGGGGTATATATGGGGTGAGATGAGAGAGTTGAGTGAGTGTTAAATCAGCTTAGCTTTGCCGCCCCATATTACAAAAGTATGGTTTGTTTCCCTGTCTGTGACCCCACCAAGGGTGACTGTTTGCTCATGGACTTTGATCCCCTGGCTCCCTGTGACTTGGCCACTACTTTGCAAGATAGTTCTAGTCACTTCTTATGCTTAAAAACTATATATGATTACAGCCCACTTAGGTTTTAAAAGTTCTGCTTTGAATTTGTTGGGAAAAATCCAAGTTCATTTCATGTGATTTTACTTTATGAAAGTGGGTATGAAGTTTGAATCATGATCAATTTCCATATGATGTCTACCCAAGAAATTACATTGAAGCACCAAATGTAGTTGCACTTATAAAGTGGAAGCTATTTTTATACTTTTATGGTAAGAAAGTTGAATAGAAATTCATTTGATGTCTTGTTCAGTATTTCTTTTTATAATTTTGTATTATGTATTTAATTTTATATACAATCAATCAAAAATTTTAATCTTTAAATCTTAAATTCTAATACAAAAAAATTACTAAACATGTGATGCAAAAATAGAAAAAAAAACACTAAACGAAAAACCAAATCAAAATAAAGAATTTTTGTTAAAAAAGTTAATTCAATTACTTGATCTAGCATTTCTTTATCATCGTGTTTATTTTATTTATTAACAAAAAAATGGATAAAATAAATTGTTACAGACACCTTCCTTACTATTATAAACTATATATATATATATGTGTATGTTTCAATACAGATAAGTGATAATCACGTTTAACTATTATTATTACTATGTTTCTAGCAACTCTAGGCATATTAAAATAGGCCCTCATCAAAGAAACAATACATACTTGGCAGCAATTGTTGGAGTCAATCTCTTTCTTTGTTCTTAAATACATAAAAAGTGAACAGATAAGTTAATTAATTCAGCTTCTTACTTTTTCAGTTTATTAATCCATAAGCAACAATGTATTTTACATCATGAATTAGAAGAATATTTTAATTAGATTGGTGGTTACTTAGATAATATTAACCCATTAATTAACCTGAATAGTGGATCTTCCACTACAATAAATGCTAATCTTTCACTGTAGTTCCACTATTTCTATTATTGTCCTTCGTTGCAATTATGAATTGATGGAGCAAAAATAAAAAAAGGTATGGTTACGCAAAGAAATCCAAAACTTTCTCCTTCGGAAAAGGCCAAATAAAATGTGAAAAATGCAGCGTCGTTTGATCTGCCGAACACTTGAAAAAGACGCAAGTAGGGTAAATCAATACCGTCGCTGTTAACTGGCTCATAATTCGCCACGTGTCTTCATTCTGATGGGACCATCCCCTCCATGGCTGTATTTGGACAGCTAGAATCACATGAAATGGTGTGCCAGCGTGTGACGGTGGGCGTGACTAAATTGGTGTACCGACTAATCAGTGTTCTTTTCACCACCACCGCCCAGTTCCACTTGGTCCCACCCAACACCGCCGTTGTCGACTCAACCACTCTTGTCCTGCCACGTTGTATTTTAAACGGCCGCCACCAATCATTGCTCACTTATATTACACTAATATATTTTATGCTTAAACAAAAATCGCTGTGCTTTTCCCTAATCAATAATCATCCGCATAGTGATGGACCACGGTCCAAGCAATAGGGAAGAAATATTAGAATATGTTCATGGCTTAGGTTAAGCCACGTGTCAAATACTTAGTTTTTCAAGGATGATGTTGAGGTTTTAGCCGTTGATTGGCCATTAGCATGGTCGGTTGTCCTCTCCTGATCTTTCATCATGTGCGAAATAATATTTCTTTCCAACATTTTTTCGGTCAAAAAGAAAAGTCCCATAATATATTGGGTAGGGTGTTATGACAATGGACCATTCGAGATAAATATCAATAAGTAGGGTATTTAAAATTATTTACATTGAGATAAAAAAAATTTATCAATTGAGTCAATTTTTGTTAAAATACGACTTTTTATTTGTTACCATAATGAATATGATATATTCATTGCATGTTTTTTATATCTTAACATTGTGTGCATGATACAACGCATTTCCATATAGAACCATACAATATAAATAAAAACTTCTTAAGGGAAAAAATAAAGTTAGAAGTATATGACAATTACTAAAATTTTTTGTGATTATCTAATGAAGTGGAACTTGTTTTATCTAAGGATTTTGGATTGTTAGCAAAACCTAAATATTATACAGGTATAGTATTTTTAAAAAATATAATTATTTTAAAAACTTTAAATAAACTTTTATTTTATTATTACGTTTAATTAAATTTTTATTTTTTTATTTTAAATTAAATAATTTTTTATAACTAACGATTAATTAACTACTATTAATCAAAACATCACTTATCATTTTATATTATGTAGTGTTGACGTAGTATACTAATATGCTTTATTGAATGAGAACGTAATCACTTGACATTTTTACTTTCCATGTTAATATTATACATGCATAAAAATAATAAATGAAGTTTTAATTAATAATAATTAATTAACTGTTAATTGTAAAAACTTATTTGACATAAAATAAAAATGAAAATGTTTGATTGAACATCATATAAAAATAAATATTTATTTAAAATTTCTTAAATAATTTAAATTTTTTTTAAAAAATATACCTTTTATATGTCACTCGATGAGTAACTCGTCAGTTAAAATTGAAGGAATAAAAAAACTACTTTTTTCATTCTATGAATAACCTTAAAAAAATTTGGTGAGAAAATAAGTTATGTACGTTTTTCCATTTTTGTTATTCGGTTCATATATTTACTTAGTGAAAGCCTACAATTCGTTTCTAATTCATTGCCCAAATTTACTACACATTGAGAAGTATTTTTTGTTTTTTACCAAACCCATTATAGAAATGGAAGAAATATGTGGGGAAATGGGAGTTTTGACCTTTTTGCTTTATTCCCTGTTTTATCTTTTGCCATTTTGAAAGAGAAATTATACATGCACGTGTGATGAAAATCGTGCATCATGCATTTCATTTCTCAAAGAAAGGTGGAAAAGTAAACCCATCAAATAATTAAGGCAGCTTCGAGTTGTTCCAAGATGCAATGCTCTACATTTCCCTGGAAGAATGTAGTTGGTTTGGTCTTCTCCAGAATCTGTACTTAACTACTCATTATGTGTCCAACTCAACTGAGAGCAAATGGCCCTCTTTTCTCAACAATTTTTTTGTTTCAAAATCAGGCCACTTGATGATTACAGGTTCAATCTACCTGTCTTCACGAGCTTTCATTTGCCTCCAATTTTTAACAGAACACAACTTTAATCCCTACAGATATTGCCAAGTAACAGAATCACATGGAAGGAGAGCAGAGTTTCTTTCTTAACTAGTCATTCCTTGTCTTATTGAAGGTTGTCCTCCCATGAGATTCCTTATGGGAAAAGATTGGGCAGATCAAACCACAAAAAGGCTAATACCAAATATCAGCCTGGAATCTATTAGGATTGCCCACAGTATTAGCCAATTAGTACAGGACAGTTTTCCTTTAATGCATAAGCGAGATCATTAATGAATTAATAATTTGGTGTTGGCTCTGTGGCAAATCATTGCAACAAGCCTGCTAGGAAACTAGTAACAAAAGAAGCAATGAAATCAAGGAAAACAAAACTGGGATTGCAATGGAGCAAATCAAACAAAATGGATCGAGTTGTTTTTAGAAAGAACATTCTGTCAATGTGCTAGCACCACAAAAGTTACAATTTATGACCCAGGATTCACAAGAAAGGAAACTGCAATCGAAATTTAATTTCCTAGTCGTCATCCGATTCCTCAGTCTCTTCTTCTGCGATTGTCTCCAACACTGGAGAATTTGACGTTCTGAGAGGTGAAATGACAAGGGCTGGTGCCACTTCAATCCAAGAACTCAGATATCTAATCTCCTTTGCCATTGCAGAATAACAAAGCCTTTCCTTTTACCGGCTGATAGAGAGACCAATGGAAAAGACAAAACCTGGAACTTGTCTGCAAGATTATGGACTTGCTGGATGTAGACTGGAATTGGGTTGAGAGGTGAATGGGTGTGGTGGGTGGCTCTTATAATGAGTTAAAAGAAACAAATTATTGACAAGAAGAATTGGAATGGAGAGATTGCTGCCCCTTTAAGCTAAAGCCATGTGGAAAATAAGGAAGATCAAGTAATTAAGAAAAGGCCCTGCCACAAGCATGGGACAAATGTGAAGAATACTTGTCGAGTGCACATGGCAAGCAAAACCACCATACAATTGGTTGGATGTAATTTCATGGTCAGGACAGATTATTTCTGCGTTGAAAGAAAAGAAAGGGATGACGAGGCAAGTTTTCAAGAGCTACCACCCTAATTAGCTCCATTTGTTTTCACTCAAGGCCACGAGTTAAAATTGGTACACGTGTCCCCAACTCAGAAGATTGACTTGATTATAAAATGATGAACCAGATCTCGACGTTTTCCCAGCAACACGTCATTTACCTTCTCAAATTTAACATTTAACACGTTGAGATTAGAGGGTGCTTGATTTCTGACAAAAGTTTTGGTTGGAAATTTAATAAAGATAGCATTAGCTTTGACAGATATAAAGATATATAGGGAGAGAAATTGACAGGAAAAACGATGGACGATAATGCTGGTATGGCTTTTCAAAGCCATTTTAATTAACTTAATTGATACTTATGAGGACTAAACTTATCATCAATTGGTTTCACTTTTCTTTTGAAGTACAAATTGGATCAAATCCTATAATTAGAAATTTAGAATTAGCTTTCTTGCTTGTCAAAGTTTCAGCCTGGAAATGTTAACCATGCAATTCTCATCATGATTGCAGGATGATGACATCTGGGAATATTTTAGAGCAAGACAGTAATTTAATTAATGAAATTATTTACTTTCTTTCGATGGAACGGAGTATGCACAGATAAAAAGAAAACTGATCTACAAAATTTACAGTACATTGCTGCTTTAAGGAGTGCTTAGTTTTCTCAATCCTTCATGGATGATGCTGCAGTCATGTCCTTTTCATACGCGTTTTGGTTGCTTCCTCTCATTACTTAATGAACCATTTGTTCCGGTAAAAGGCCAAACGGAACATTCCTTTAGATGCTAACATGTCTCTGAGGAATTCAGGTGCACTGAGCAGAATCCTGGAATTATGAATTGTCATCATATTCCTCAACAACATCTTCAACAATGGTCTCCAAACCTGGAGAATTGGAAGGCTTTTGAGGGTAAATAATAGGAGCTGGCGCTACTTCAATCCAGGTGTACATTTTCCTGCTTTCCTTAGCCATCAAAGAAGCCTGAAAGAAGAGGTGGTTGTTGTCTTAATACTATCTGTTGACGATTAACAAGGGTTAACAATGAATTCCTCTCTTCCTCCTGTTCCTGGGAAGAAGAGGGATGTCAAAACACCTGGGGAGGACTTTCAAAAAGGCTTTTTGTGGGTTTTACAAAGAGAGAACAAGGAATCAATTGCAATTTGAGAAGAATGCGAATGCCAACAGAGCTTAAATAGGGAAGGATGAAAAAGACACATCCTAAAATATCCAAGCAAGGAAACAAAGGAGGTTGAGTCATAGACCGAATTGACGGTAGACCGCAATCCATGTGTACATTGTTCAAACACGGTTTCGTTTACTACGAAAGGAAAAAGAACATTCCGGAAACTATGGGCACGATGGGCGCGCTCTGATCCAAAGATAGGATACGTGTGAAAATCTTGGAGGCAAATGTGTTTATTTCACCAACATTATTGGCATTCTTCCAGGGGAATTACAAGCCCTGATTCCAGGGGAAGTAACAGCATTCGTACGCAAAAATAGAAATTGACTCTAGGTCTAAATAGAGGTTCTCAATACCAGCCATGAAGAGGTTTTAGAAACCAAAGAGAGACCTTAGCCTTTGAAACAAGTACTGACACTAGAAATGTAACTCGATCCTCCTCCATAGAATGTATTTGTTTTGAAAACAGACTGCTGTCAATGGGGCTGACACTTGGACCTGCATCCGGTAGAGGAATGCCAGTGATAGTTTAGGCTATTGGTTGAAGAAGGGGTTCATGTTGGCTTGCACAACTATGTGGGTTGTCAGTTTAAGGAAGGATTGCTCCTTGCAAAGTCTTTGCATGTATAATCATGTATTCCTGATTGTAAAACTGTATGCAGCTGTTTCCATTTTTTGCAGCACCGTGTGATTTGTGAATGATCATCAAAGCATGTGATTGTCTCATGCCCGCATTGAACAAAAATCTTCTGTTCTCCTTTCCTGCCCCATGAACAAATTTTTGACAAGTGTCTACTTGATGCTCACAATGTAAAATAGGTTAGCCCGGTGTTCAAATACCCTCTATTCAAACAAAAAGTCAAATTAAAAATTATCATTGAAAAAAATGAAACTTAATACTGATGGTGATAGCGGGAATCAAATACAGAGCTGGAAAGCCTAGCCTAGCATCAAGGATGTTGGAATCACCGCAAACAAAGCTATAGCTTGAAGATCTTGACTCGATCAAGAACAAAAAGCCAAGAAATAGAAGCTCAAGCAAAAATATAGACCAATCAACTTAATTAAAAGATCGGGATATTCCGCTAAATTAAGGAAGGCGGCTTGTTCACACTTATCTGCGACTGAGCCCTTGCATACAGGCTGCCGTGATGGTCGTCCAGTTCTCGAATGGAATGGCCTTGGCTTGGCTTCAAGAGAAAGAGTTTCATGGGCGATGTCAGCTTACTCAAGAAATTAAAGATTAATGAGACCAGCTAAGGTTTGTGCGATCCATTTACCATTGCACCATCACTAGATATACACTTACTACTGAATGGTTCTGATTGTGAATGTTTCATCTTCATTTGCCATTCAAATGATGCATTTTGTGGTTCACATTAAGTTTGTATTAAGTTTCTATGGAACAAAGAGGTAACCTTTCAAAATAATAAAAATGAAATAAGTCCTCAAAAATTATTTTTTAATTTTTAATTTTAAAAAAATCAAATCTTACTCTCCATGCAAAGGATCATGCATTAATTAATAAGTTAAATACTCATGTGTACTTATTTTTTAATTTTTAATCTTATAAATCAAAGATAAAAGAAAAATCATGAAAAGATAGAGAATTGGGTAAAGAGTTTTTAATTGCTCCCCTGCTAAAACATCATGAAAGATGAAAAGTTAATCAAAATGTGAAACTCTTTATCCTTGCAACACGAGAGGCATTTAGACCTTGATTAGAGAGGAATAGGAGGCTGTCCATATTGTCTCCTAAGTCATTAGTCATTACCACACAAATAAAAAGTTGCTTTCTTCAACTTTTTAAGTAGGCTTTCAACAGTCTTACTTATGAGGGAGATTAAAGGTTTCTTTTTGTTTTCATTTATGGATAACTAAATCCATCTTTCACGGTCGACCCTTTTTCTTCATTAACATGTTGGCCGAGCTAAGCTAATTTAATTATAACAAGTACAAATCTCATTTAATCAGTAACTAATTTAATTGCCTACCAAAACTAAACTAATTACAAACAAATTTAATTACAAAAAATGCAAATCACCTTGCATCACACATTGATAATTCTGAAAATTCTGATCAAATTTCTCATAAATCTTTATCTTCTCAAGATTTTAATGAACACTTTTTTTATATATATCAAAAGTTGCAAAGTTTATCTTATCAAGCACCAAACTCAGCCTGAAGATGATCAAAGAAAATACTATAAAGTGACAGCATCAAATACCATGCATATACCTAATTTTGGATCAAGTTCCATGAACTATAAAATAGGGTATAGAAAATGACTCCATGATTCAATATGACACTATTTACTAGTGAAGTGACTGACTGATCCTCCTGATTGGTGCAAGAAAAACAAGACAAAAATCTTGATGCCACAAGGATACTCTCCAATGCAAATAAGGAAGCTACAAGTCCAACCATTTTCCTCCCAAAACTATCTGCATTCTGATACATTACCAACAACTTAGTCTCCAACACTTATCAAGTGACATATTCAACAAAAAAGTTCTACCAATTTCATGCCAAAAGCGAAAAAGAAATCAACAAGAATGCCATATCAGCCAAAAAGATTGACCCACAATAAGCTTCAAAAGTCAATAGTTTAAAATAACCAACAGCTTAGCTGGAAATACTACTCATTGGAGAGGCCTCTTGCCCCCCAGACCTCCACATAAAACTTAAGATCATAATAAACAGCTAAGGTTCTTAAAAGTCTGATCAACTACTCTGCCCTAGCAAAAGTGATTCCGCAATAAAAATGATAAACAACAGCTAAGGTTCTTCAAAACACAAGCTCATTCTATCAGCCATGAACACATTCAAGAAACAAGACAAACCTGCACTAGCACCCATAGCACAATCAAAGAGTATAAACATGCTAGTTATTGGCCAAAGCAAGGCTTCGACACCAACCCCCCTCTACATTACTACATTAAAAAGGAAACCATATGCAGTAATGTTACCAGGAATCAATTAAAACATCAACATCACATAAGATAAGCCAGGGCAATACTAAAAGCACCATAATAAGAATCAATCACCACAGAACTCAAAACCTTACTACACAATCAACAAATCATCAAACACGTCCACAAATTAAGTTCATCAGAAAATGCAATTATCAAAATTACGATTCCATCCCAATATTCGTTCCACGATAAGCAAAATAACCTAAAAGCAAAATTTAAACCATACATCTCCTCATTCAAAATATAAACCCCACCACCCTCCACAAATTTCATCATCATTAAACCCCTTAGGAGACTTAATCATCATCATTTTGAAAAATTATCCAAAAACTTATAAAAAAAAAAGGTTACATAAAAAAACAATAATAACCAAAAACCCTCACTTTCTTTTGTTTTTTTTGTTTACTCCAAGGGAACATCAACTTCTCCCTCAGAAATCTCCTCCTGCAGATCTTTAGGGTCTTTCCCGTCAACCGTACACCCAACAGAAACACAAGTTCCCAAAATCTCCTTCACAGTTCCTCTCAAATCCTTAGCCATGGATCTGGGCCTCATCACTTTCGCAATCTCGATCACATCATCGAGGCTAATATTCCCATTATGCTTAATATTCTTTGTCTTCTTACGATCCCTCTCGGGCTCCTTCAATGCCTTGATGACTAACGCTGCGGCGGAGGGAACCACGGTGACTTTGGCTTGACGGTTCTGGACGGTCAGTTTGACGGTGACACGTAAGCCCTTCCAGTCCTTGGCGGTTTCTTTGGCGATGTCTTCACCGATTTTTTTGGGGGAGAGACCCAAAGGGCCGATTTTGGGCGCGAGGGAACTGGCAGCTCCGACTTCGCCTCCAGTGACTCGAACGAAGACGTCGACGACTTGGGTCGGGTCGAACTTTGGCGGCATGGTTGGCGGCGACTGCGGGGGCTAGGGTTAAGATTTTGAAGGGTAATGAGAGCAGTACTGGGATTTCGGCGGGGGCGAAATGAAAACGGAGAGTGCCGAGGAGTTTTAAGGGGTAGGAAATTAGGGTTTTGTGGCGTGTTGGGATTTCGAAATGACCAAATAGTCCTGGGCTGTCGGGAAAATTTCCGGGGTCCTAATGGCCCCTTGGTCTAGCCAATTGGGCTTCCACAAAACTTAATTTCTTAATGACACTTTTTCAAAGCCCAAATGAATATGATCACTTTGGCCCATGAAATATTTTAAATTACAATATGTGTAAACAACGCAAATTTTAATGATAAATATCTTAAATCTTATTGAAACTATTATGAAATGTTTATGGGGCTAAAAGAAGAAGAAGAAAAAGAAGAACCTTCTCAAAGCTAGTAGCCTAAATGAACATTTTATATATAACCCTAGCTGCCCAAAGTGAAAAAGGCTTTATAATAGGTTTTGAGAGTTAAAATGAAGGAAGAGCACATAATTAGGTCCATGGTACCTTTTAACAATTAATCCCCATTGAGCTTTATTGTGGCCTGCTACTCGGGCCTGGATCATCCCTTTGAGAATCTAGATGTTTTATGCAGCTAAAGGTTGGGTTATGACAATGTCCGCAACAAGATGTTTAAGGTACCATAAAGCACCTTCTTTTGACGCCAAATTGTGCCTTGATGGACAGGAAATGGCTTAATCCACAACATGAAAGAAAAAAGGGATTCCTTCTCCTTTTTGTTTGTGTGTGGATTTGGAAATTTTAAAAGAGAAAAACATATGGGAACCCTATCATTTGATAAAGAATCTCTAGACATGCCACATGCATCCTTTAATCCTCCAAGGAACTCCATTATGAGACATAACCCACTTATCTACATTAAAAAAAAGGGCGTGAGGGGGAGTCATTTCTTACAAGATATATAAAGATAGGTTCTATATAATATTCAAAGCAAAGATAATCTTGAAGAGAATAAAATATTTACAATCCCAAGATCAACATTACTAGGCCATTGCATCTATTATAGTCTCTTTTCTATCCAATGAAGGCTTAAATGCTATTTAAAATAAGATTTTCACAAGATTTTAGCTCATCATACAGCATCCCATGCATGCATGCCTAGGTTTTATTTTAATCCAAAGGCGATCGTATTATCTTTTATGCATCCGGGTTTTCTTTGTATTATTAATGCTGTCGATATCCTTCTTGATTTTAGCTTAGGGATAATAGACTTTGGCCTTAGAAAATTCAACCAAGTTGAAGCTTTGCTTCGGACCAAGCTCTAGTATACCAGCCAGTCCAAATGTTACATTATCATATTTACTCATAAAACATTCGTAAGATTTGCACTATTACTTCTTATCATTAATTTTTAGTAAATTTACCTTGATTTTGGATTCTAATTAGATATTTTCTGAAAAATCGTAACATATTTGAATTAATTGCATGATATGCATAAAAACTTACATTATTACTTCATACTGTTAATATTTTAATAAATTTATCTTGATTTTAAGTTTTGATTAGATGTCTTTTATAAAGTCCGTGACATATTTTGAATTAATTGTATGATATGTATGAAGATTTGCATTATTACTTTGTATTGTTAATTCTTTTAATAAATTTATTTTAATTTAATATTATAATTAAACGTCTTTTAAAAAATCGTAACATATTCAAACTTATTACGTGACATTCTTATGCAGTCAAAGAACTGTTGAAGTTAGTACAAACTTTTTTTTTATCACTCGCAAATGAAACGTTTATTCTGACACATGCATGCATCACTCGAAAAAAAAAACATTTAATTTGAATTTAAATAGAATACACAAAACTTTAGAATTCAATGACACATGAACCTATACCTAACCTAACTAAAGCTAAATATTTTTTACCACTAATTAAGTTTTTTTTTTTTTTGAAAAGCTGAAAATTCATTCACAATTCAAGGGAGGAGTAGAGAAGCATTCTGCTCTAAGAGCAAAAAACCTAGGATAATACAAAGAACCTGCAAAAGCAACCCCTCTAGACCCGAAAAACCAAAATGAACATCATCCCTAATTAAGTTAAATTTATATATGTAGGGGTGATTACAAGTTCACCAAAGTTGAAAGAGAGATGGTAAGAGGAACTTTGCCTCTAAAATTATTGACTAGTTACAGAAAAGCCATGCAGACTAAAAAGAAAGTAATGACCCCATGAATATCTAGGCAGACCCATTTGTTGTTGTTGGACTTTTAAGGAAAAATACTAATTATCATGGATGCTTTTTCCTTCCATGTGAAAAACAAAAATGTTTTCAAAGTAATTAAATATATAACCGATTTGTTTGATAAGGCTATTCCAAATTTTCAATATTATGATGTTGACAACACAATTCATAATTAAAATAGTTTAATTATGTCTCTTCTTTTGAAAATTTTTATTTTTCTAGAAGACAAAGATGGACGATTTAATAAATAACATCTTTTGAAAAAAAAAAAGGGGAAAACTTACTCCATTGTTTACCAAAATATCATAAACGGTCCAAATTCAAAAATATAAAATATACATAATATTAAAAAAAATTAAATGTCTTTATTGTTTTATTACATTTGTATGAGTCATTATATTTTTATTTTAAGAAAAATTAGCTTTATGATTAATAGTTGATTAATTGTTATTAATCAAAATGTCACTTATTATTTTATACTACGTGATACTGATGCGGCATATTAACATGTCATAATAAATAGTAATTTGACATGTTTATATGATATAATGGCATGATCATATAATATTTTTACCTCTTATATCAATAGTAAGTAAGTATAAAATAATATGACAGTTAATCAAGAGTTCTTTATAAAAATATATGTAATTCAAAATAAAAATATATAAATTTAATTAAATATAATATAAAATAAAAAATTATTTAAATTTTTTAAATAATTTAAAATTTTTATAAAATATCATGTGAAAATAAAAATAATAACTTAACAAATTTTAAATTTTAAATATTTAAATTCTCAAACTGAAGCTATTCGAATTAATCCTTTTTTTCAAAATTTGTAATATTTCCTTTTATTTCTAACTAAACATCTTTTAAACTTAATAACCTTCATTATCATATAGCTGCCTAATGACACGTGTGCACATGAGTCACCTCGTTGTCCTGACGTGCCACGTCACTTGCGCATCGCGACAAAAATAGAAGATCTCCCTTAATTCCAGGATAGGAAAAAAATCGCAGTAAATGACGTGTCAAGATATGGACGTTCAGATCTTTTTAATTAGCGGAGATGGGAAGTGGACCCCACGCTGCCTGGACTTGCAGTCCACTGAAAGCGTGTGTACAGTCCTATGAATATTGGAACCATTAAAGGAGCGGCCTGATTGGTCCACTTGTCTCCTGGTTGGTCCGATTGGATAAATTCTTTCACCCGGCTATCAATTATTCAATGTACGGGCCCATCCAAAGCATTAATCGTACGTGTCATTTCGTGCTCTGAAAATTAGTAACTCTTTAAACTTTTTTTGATAGTGCCCAACGTGTCCTTCCACGGTAATTTAGGAATTTTAAAGTGGGTGTAATTATCACATACAAACAGTTCCGTCCGGTTAAATTGAACACCCTTTTCAATTGCTCCATGATTTGTTTATATAAATATTTTTGTTTGATTCTTTTATTGTCTAATCGAAATTGATTAAAATAAAGTATTTATTTCTTATAATGACTCATAATTTTCTTTTTAAATAGGGAAATGCATGAACTGAGCATTAAATTAAATGTTAAAATGTATTAAATTATTAAAACTTTTAATAAGGTAATAAGTTATAATTCAGTAATAATGCAGAGAAACATACACTATTCATGAACCACGCGCAAAATTGTACTTGAGATCAAGTCAAAGCAATTAATGAGAAAATCAAGTGGAGGAGACCATAGGTAACTGGTGAAGATGCAGGCATGATAATCTTTCCCTATTTGTGTTTTAGTAACTTGATTTTGCCTGGGAAAAAGAGAGCTTATCCACTACACCACTATAAAAATGCAACATGATCAACAATTACAGCAAAGAAGGCAAAGGGCAAAGCAAACAAAGGACAGACCCAAAATTTTCATCCTCTCTTCTTATTGCTAAAACCCCCATCAACTTACTTAAAAAGGTTTTACTTTGATTTTCCTTTCTTCGAAATGGCGTCGAGGAAGATCTTTTTTGGTTCAAAACCAAGCTATATCTACCCAACCATGGAACTTGATGATGGAAATGTCAACAACCCTTCTTCTGATCATCACAACCATTTGGAGTTCGATGAAGCAGATGTATGGAATTCTAATGAATCAACAACAACCGCCACCCTGGATGCCAAAAAACCATTGCCCACCTCACGAAGTTCGTCTAAGAAACTGTTGAGAAAGATGGAGGTAAGCGATCGTAGGAGCCAAATGGCCTCAGCTTCATTGCCAGTCAACATCCCTGACTGGTCCAAAATTCTTAAAGATGAATACCGGGAACATGGCAAGAGTGACGAAGATGTTGACGACGACGACGACGACGTCGACGATGATGATGACGGTAGGGTTCCTCCTCATGAATATTTGGCTAGGAGAAGAGGCGCTTCGTTTTCTGTTCATGAAGGAATCGGGAGGACTTTGAAAGGAAGAGACCTGCGTCGTGTAAGGAATGCTATCTGGAAAAAAACAGGGTTCGAAGATTAGCCCAAGGAACAGAAACACCAGGCTGAATTCTTTTTCTTTTCTTTTTCTTTTTCTCAGACCAAGAATTTGATAGTGTTAGTTGGCAAATTTTTTCATTGCCATATCTATATTTTTCTCTTTGATTTTTTTTTTGTTTCTTGTTGAGATTATGTTAACTTATATCCTCTGATTTTCTGGGTTTTGAGATTCATCAGAGGATCTGTTTTGTTCTGGTTTTTTGCATGATGTAACTATTCAAGACTTTAAAATTGTTAGCAGATTTCAATGATAATTTACTTTTAGTTTAGATTGCCAACATTTTCTTCTTCTTTTTTGGGTATTTTTGCCTATTACGGAGAGAAGTAGACAGAGGAAATGAAATTGAGGAAGGTGATGTGGACTTATTGAAATGGTGGTTGGCAGGAAAGCAACAGTCGAGCTAGAACAACCCTTTAAAGTAAAAATTTATTGTTCATTTCCATCTCTGCAATGACAAACCTAGCCTTTTGATTTTTTATTTTCTTTTCCTTGTTTGTTTTCTAAGCTGTAACATGAACTTAAAAGGGGAATATTTTATGGATTGCTGTCAACAAAAAGTAATACATCTGATGGGATTAATAAAAACAAGGAAAGACATATCAATGGAGCCCATTGTATTATCTCTTGTTAAATTTAATAAAAAATATTTTAATTAATCTTAACCAATACTAATCAGACGATGAAAAAAGAGATAACACTCATATTTATTGTAAAAATGGAATACAGCTATATTAAGAAAAAGAAAGATGTTGCCATAAGTAGACTATGCAATTCCCTTTCCCCAAAAAAAGAAAGAAAAAAAACAAGTTGGTCATGAATGTTATCATGAGGTTTCCATTCAGTACAAAAAAAATCCATATCAGCATGATTGGTTTCCAGTTTTCACCAATAGCCCCAACATTCAATTGGCCATGCCATTGGGTTCTTGTAGTTCAAGTTTGACAACTCTGTTTCTAAACTACTAAACTTGGAGAACAAATGTTTGATAGTGTCAGTCCAATGAGAACACAGTTCCTCCCTTAAATCTACAATGCTAAACAAAGAAGAGAAACCCAAAAAGAAGATACCTCCTTTGACTTAGTTATTGCACCCAACAGATCAATTATTCTACTCTATCATCATTGGCTCATCCTAGAATAACAAAAACTGCCAATTAACATTGTTGGGCAGTATTAAATCATCAAACAAGCAGCCGCTGCTTGATTTACACCCCTTGTTTTTATTTCTTCTTTTTGTGTTCAGGTCTCTTGGACCACCAAAAGCGGCCTATGTTAGTATTTTTCATGGTTAAATGATGAGGTGAAAATTTGCTGTAAAAGAAAGAAGATAATGGCATTAATTGAAAGGGAAGTTTGCCCAAAGTCACCCATGAAAGGTTTGATTAGCAACAAAGGCTAGAATGGTTGTATTCTTTTATTTTTTATTATTAATTTTACTGATAGGTTTGGCCCCTTTGGTCATGAATTATGGCCTTGAAAATTGAGAAGTAGGTGCTCTTCTAGGGGGCCTATCAACTATGGTAGTTAATTAAAGTGTTTTAAAAAATTCAACCTCCAACCATTTAAACATGACAATTCAATAACAACAAATTCAAAAAGATAACGACGTAATTCTCTCTCAAACGGCTGAATGTATTTCAACATTTAATTTAATAATTGACATATGACTTTTATTTATTCAAAATTAAAGTTTAATTTCTTCCTTTTCATATTGGAAAAGAAATGCTAATTGGTGAAATTGATCATTTAAGAGTAATTTTAAAGTTTAATCCGGTGTTAGAAAGGCAAACAGCTAAATACAAATTCTTTGGTAATGTCTGATATGTGAGAATTGGTAATGCATTCCTTACAATATGTTTAATTAAATTATATTATAATATTTATTTTATAATAAATTATTATAATCGAAGATAGAAATACAATCACATTATAATCGATAACTGTAATGTGATTGCAGTACAAACATTACAGTCTATAATATTATTAAAGATATTTTTACTATTTAATTATGTTATTATTTAAAAAAAATTTACGGTGTTATAATTTATTTTTTAAATAGATTTTAAAAAACGTCTTTTTGTTACTCTCAATAATTATTCTTTGTTGGATAGTGGATGGTGACGATAAATAAAATTTATATTATCTTTAAAAAAATATTAAAATAAAAATATATAATATAAAATATTATATTAAAAAATAAAAATAAAATATGTAAGATTATACTAAAAAATAAAAATAAAATATAACATTAAAATATATTTAAAAAATATATTATATAAAAATTAATAATAAAAATATAAATATATTAAACTTATATTTTATTAAATAAAAATAATTTTAAAAATTAATATTATATTTTTAATAAAATACTTATAAATGAAATATTAAAATATTATTTTTTATATTTTAATTATTATTTTATTTATATATTAAATATTATAATATTATTTTCTTAACAATTAAGTTATCTATAATCATACATTGTAAATTACTAACCTTTGTTTAGACAATAAACTAGACAAGACACCTAAACCTACGGCTTAAGGGCCCAAGCTAAACAGCAAGACATGGCAGACATAAAGCTTCAGTCGTGCTTGAAAAGTTAAGCCCAACTCAATACTAGCTACAATGTAGAGAGAGCCCAATAATTGTTGTTTCTTTTTTCGGCTGAGTGAATAAGTAGTTGTTTTTAGATGAAACTTTAGCTTTAAAAATTTAGGAATTTAATTTTTTGTTACTTTGATTATTTTTAATTTGAATTTATAAGATAAGATACCATAATTCTCGTAATTATAATTTACTAAAATACATTTTAATCCTTTACTTTTCTTTTTAAAATTTAAAAATTTTATTTTTGATATATAAGATAACTTTTTTTTTTATTTTATAAGATAAGATTGTGAGTTAGGTATCCCCTAAATATTGTTTCACCATTTATTATTTTATTTTTGAAAAGTAATTATTATCTTTTTTAAATTTGACATGTATATATAATTTTGCCAAAAGAGATCACTTTTTTTTAAAGACATAATATTTAGAAAAACTTTTAAATTATTTAAAATATTTAAATAATTAATTATTTTTTATTATATTTAATTAAAGGTTTTTATTTTGAGATTTTTCTAAACATCACTTTTCATTTGTTGTGCTTACTTAGTGTTGATATGGAGAGCGAATCATGCCCTTATGTCATATGACATGTAAAGGTATTACATTAACATTATATAATATAAAAATGATAATAAATATTTTGATTAATTATAAATAATTAATTATTAAATATAAAAATTTATTTAATTTAAAATAAAAATCTAAAAAATTGATTGAATATGGTAAAAGAATAAAAAGTCATTTTAATTTTTATAAATAATTAGAATGATTTTTCTAAGTATTATATATATTTTTTAAATTGTAATTGCTATTTGTAATTTTATATAAAAAGAAAGATGGTGCTGATAGACTAAACAAATATATCAGAGTAAATCTGCAAGTGGTTGATTGTTTTCAGCTTTACGTAAGAAAAATAATGTATATGATGATCAATAAGATGACCAATTGAACTTTGAACAATATCTCTGTCGGCAGAAAAATTCATTAATTAAAAATGAAAATTCTTTTATGAATTATACAAAAAACGCAGCCTCATCCGAACCAAGTGTATGGTACCAACATTGTCCGAAACGCCGATGTTGTCCTTGTTCACAAAGCAAGCAACCATACAAAAGACTTTGAAAGTGAAGTAGAAACGTTAGATTCTGCTAAAACAGAGTAAATAGTAAAGAAATCAACAGTCAAGAGAAAAGAGGGCTATACTGCTACAAAAAAAAAAGGGGGGGGAAAGGCAGAAAAATGGTTGGAAGGGAGAGAAGTAGAATATTGGTGGGATTAGCGGTGGCTATGTTTCTAGGAGTGGCAGTTTATTTCAGGCTTTGGACAATTGATTACTCTGTCTCTTTGGATGATGCTGAGTTGCTAAGGTTGGCTTTTTACCCTCAAATTTTTCTGGGTTTTTCTTCTTCATCTTCTGAAAAATCTTGGTTTTTGAATAAATTTAGCTTGTTTTGAATTCTGGGTTTTTCAATTTTCGGCTTAATTTGTCATTAAAATGATGGTCTTTCATTTTCTGGAGAGAAGGAGACAGTTTGATCTTGCAAACAGAGAGGCAATGGATGAATCTGCAGAGTGGAGGCTGAGATTTGATGAGCAGGCAGATAAGGCTTCAAAGTGTGCCAAGGAACTAGAAGAGGTATGCTGATTTCTTGTTGGCATTTTCATTTTCTTATTAAATGTGAATCATAACTAGAATTACCTTTGGTAGTCTTGATTTTAGTCAATTTGGAAGATTGCAAATTTGCTGTTCTTTCATAACATCTTTTCTGGAAAAGATTAATAGGATTAAACCAAAATTATTCACATAGAGTTGCAAGAGAGCGTTGAGAGAGTGAATATAGTTGATCTTACAGACCAATTAAAAAGCTCAAGTAGCAGTTTTGATTCACTTATGAAACTGGAGGATTTATCTTGCCTTCCTGTTGTA